AGTCCACTACTCGCTCTTCTTTTTGCGCTCTTTTGTCATTGTTAATATATAAATATTTCTTATAGCTGCAGTAAGTCTTGTACAAAATTAGATCAAAACTTTTTTCCAGCAAAACCAGATAGCCGAGAGGTTAGAGTGCATACAAGCACATACACACTGATCCTGTCTGTCTTCACTGACACTATCGAATAAAACCTAAATTTTTTTAAAAATAAATCTTAAAAAAAGTTCGTTTTTGCAGCATACCACCAAAGCCCATCTGAATTAAAGCAAGTAAGCCCAACTAAATAGGACGTCTCACTTCAATCCACATTTGCTGTCAAGTAGGGCTGCTGTCAACGCTGAAAATGCACCAACATCAGCATTTTAATCCAAGGATTATTTCTTCTTCTTTTTTTTTCTAAGTGCTTCAGTTCAGTGTAAAACAGTTTTTTGTTTTTTTTAAAAGTAGCACTATGTAATTGCTGCGTCATAATGTCATTTGTTGGTTTCAGTCACTTGTCGACTGCACTCAGCACTACCGTTTAAAACGGCAGCAGCAGCAACAGAGTGTAACTTGATTACACCAAAATCCAATTTGGTCCATGTAAAAGTTTTTGAAATCCAAAGCTTCAAAAGTAAATAAGTACTTCAGGTTATCACAAAACAAAAATGTTTGGTTTATACATCGTGCAAAGCAACACCAGTACGACGTACAAGCACCAAAAGAGAAAACAAACAGGGGAGATTTTCTGGAAGATGCAAGACAATATGGTCTATTCCTTAGTAGGGAGGGCTGCTACTTTTAAAAATTCTGTTAGTTGACTGTTAAGAGAGAAAATGTTTAGCTAGAATCTGGTATTATTCCACTTTGACTGACGTTGCCAGTGTGTGTGTGTGTGTGTGTGTGTGTGTGTGTGTGTGTGTGTGTGTGTGTNTGTGTGTGTGTGTGTTCACTTGTGATACGCTTGATGGGACATACATTCCTTATCTAGAAATGATCTCAGGAGAATGAATTGTATAAAGCCACGAGCTAATTAATGAAATACTTTGTAGGTTAATTAATGAAGCAACCAAGAAGACAACAATCTGACAATCTCTATATCATCAGCTCTCTGCATTATAAATAAACGCATATATGTGTCGTTGCATCTCAAAAATGTGCACAAGGTGCACAAAGCAAAAGGGAAATGTGGTTCAAAATTTTGGGGGGGCTGTATGTTTGCATCTATTTTCTTTGTTTAAGCCACATTTTAATTGCAAATCATTTCTTCTTCTCAGTTAAAGGAACAGTTCAGAATCTGAATGAATGTGCTTCGTAGAGATAGATGAAGAAGTCAATGCCACTGCACAGGACACCGGACAAGCAGTCAGTTAGCTCAGCTTAGACTGAAAATGGGAGGAAGTAGTGTCTGGCTCTGTCTAAATGTCAAGTCCCAAAATTTGCCTGAAAACACCTTCTTAATAGTTTAAATCTTACAAAAGTGTAAGAACACAGGTGAGTTCCGACTGTCACATATATTTGTAAATCAGCTCATAATCTTTTATATCACACTGAGCAATACTGAACTTCTATATTTCTGAACGCTAAAAATGCTATGAGCTATCTACCTAATTATTCATACAGCTCTACAGAATGCCTTCATAAACAGTTACTTAGTAGTGCATTTAATTAAGATGAAGGATTAAATGTCAAGTATTTCATTACAATGTGTCAATGTAGTGACATATTAGGAGTAACTTCTTGTAATAAACACATTTCTTCACAAGATCTCAGAAGTGATATATAAATATATAAAATAAAGTATTTCAGGCTAAAGTTTACAAGTCTGTGATCTCTGTATGGATGAGACCACAGAAATCTGACAAACAGGCCTCGTCTTCTGAGACAAAACAAACCCTTTCGCCTCAGAACTGTTAGGGAACACTATCGCGCTGTTTGGACCTCGCATGTGAATTTGCAACCCGATCAACGCCAACTCAACTCCACGCATCCACGTGAAACCAAGGACAAGAAACATCCTCGTGAATCTGAGACCATAAAAAGCATCAGGAAGTGTTAATAAAGAATAACAACAAGAAGAACATATCACATAGGAGCATGACGGAGCAAAAAAAAAAAAGATAGCCAGGGAAGCTTTGATGACTTCCCTTTCATCACACAGACAACAAAGCACCGCCACCCTGCCAACTTCTTCTTCCCTTTTTTGATTTTTATCATGACATGAATCGGGTGATGTCATTCTTTTTAAAAAAAAAAAAAAAAGAAAGAAAGAAAGAAAAAGAAAAGACAGAGCGAGGCAGTGGGGGTGTTTGTGGGGTGGGCCTGACTTTCCCATGCCAATCCAGGGTTGACATTTTCATTTAACGCTAACAACCTTCATCAATAATGCTGAAGTTGTCTCTCTCCTAACACACTCGCTCATTCTCTCTCCTTCTGCAGCCTGCCTGGGTTAAAAATAGCCCTCCCCTCTCTCTTTCTCTGCTTCTTCGTTTACATAAGCACACTGAGGGGGGAGGGGAGCACTTCCGGTCTGGCCACCCAGCCCAGTATCTAATCCATAACACTGGGGCTGCTGGGTGTGGGAGAGAGGAGAGGGGAGGAGAGGGGAAAAGAGGAGGAGAGGAGAGGAGAGGAGAGGAGAGGAGAGGAGAGAGATCGCACAATGCAGGGAAAGTCTCTGTCTTCGTTTCAATCTCCCTCTTCAGTCCTTTCTCCTTTTCAGTTGTTCTGTCTCTCTAGGTGCTTGCAACTCTGTCCGTCTACAATCACACTTCTTCCAATAAAGGCTTTTTTATTATCATCCTACCGACGAACCACACACACATAAGCAACAAACACCTGTGGCTATGCGTGCAACATTGCGAAGACACGCATACACCCGTAATGACACAAACACACAACTTTAAACTACTTTTTCTTCACATTTATTTGATGCTACTTTATGGTTCTACTCCCCTACATCTATTTTTTTTTTGACTTTGCGACACACTTATTAGATTACTACAATTCTTCAATTAAGATTTTCCATAAAAAGAAACTGATAGGCTTTCAAATGCAATATATACTTACAATTTTACATTTTGTTTTGCTTGTGAACCCCTCAAATAAAAGCACTGACTTGTTCCAGCAAACAGTGATTTCTCCCCTAAACTTGTTAGTTGGTTTCATTTAAATGACTGACCAACATTCAAAGTAATAATAAAAGCAAAGACGCAACAAAAGCATAGATTTTAAATACATGTTCATGCAGCTTTGATTCTTTTCTCACATCCCACTAATCATAATAATAATAATAATTGATCAGATTTATATAGCGCTTTTCTAGACACTCTAAGACGCTTTACACTGTCAATTATTCATTCGCACACATTCATTCTGGTGGTGGTAGCTACGATTGTAGCCACAGCTGCCCTGGGGCAGACTGACAGAGGCGTGGCTGCCATTCTGCGCCTATGGCCCCTCCGACCACCACCTCAAACAATCCATTCACACGCATTCACACCAGGCAAGGTGGGTGAAGTGTCTTGCCTAAGGACACAACGACCATGAAACAGGTTACAGGGCAGAATCGAACCGCCGACCTTCCGATCATCGCCCGACTCGCTCTACCACCTGAGCCACAGCCGCCATCTCACAACCCCTCAGTTTAATTTTTAACCCTCAGAGGGCCTCGACCCCTAAGTTGAGAACTACTAATATCGTACATAAGTGTATAGAAATGAGGAAAAACTAAGCCCAACTCAACCAGCAACCACAGACCTCATACATCAATTCATTGCTAGTTTCACTTTAGTAAAGGTTTTCTATACTTTTTCACCAAAATACTGTATATGGTCACATTAACAAAATAAAAAAGCCTCACATATGTCAACAAACCCATGTACCATGAAAAAGAGAGTATGCTTCAAACTTTCAAAACTCTAATGTCATATGACCACTGTGTGCCTCACAACGAAGGCTTGTATGAGATCAAAAGGCCAATAACCCTTTTGGAGAAGTGAGTTGGGCAAAGAAGAGGAGGGGAAAGTTCAAACTAAAAGGCTTCAGAATTTGTGACAAATAATTATGCAAAACGCTGGCGATCAAGAGATACAAGATGGAGGTGTGCCAATCTCTTTGGATGTGAGAAACCATCAAGCCACCAGATACCATCATCGCAAAGTTTGTATCTTGGTTGTTTAACAAGACTAATTAGAAAGCTGACTGACAGAAAAAAAACACTACTTATTTGAAAACACACATGCACATACACGGAAGTGCAATCCCAATAAACAGCAGAACAATCTGCAATCAAGCATCACAAAAAGTTTAGGATGAGTCAGTTGATGTCTGACTATCAACATTTCTGGCCAAAACCAACAATTACCTGAACCCATAAACAACTACAGTCTGTGCAGCATCATACTCAGATTAATCTTCTTGCCACAGAACTCCATTGTTTAAAAGTTTACAGTCATGCAAGCAGCTCTGTGAGGCAACAAAGGGCTTCAAGATAAGTGCTAACATACTCACATTGACAATGCTTATGTGAGGGTAGCATGCTAACATTTGCTAATTACCACTAAACATAAACTACACCTGATAAACCAAAGTAGTGGATGAATTTTAAAGTTATTGCAACTTATCTTAAGGAGCGGTTCAAGCAAATTTAATGGAAATCTATCCAATTGTTATTAATAGTAAGAAAAATACAGAATATCCTGTAAATGTGTCCTTTTAAATTCAACCAGAGTCTAACCCTCAGTTTCACAAGAACTTCTTGACAAATTGTTGCAAATACAAACTATAGTCAGAATAAACACACTGTCAACGTCAAGGTAGCAAACCTTGACACCTTGCGCTCACAAAAACCACACGGGAACACACCCAAACAACCCACAGAGCACACACTGAATGGTTTATATTTGTAGCTATGTGTCAATGTAAAGCCAAAGAGAAAAAAAAATGTGTTTGTGAAATGTATTTATTTGCAAGTACAGAAGTGAAAAAAGTAAAGGGAAAGGAAACAAAGACTTACTACTGTGCACAGTCGATGAGTTGATATTCGTTGGACCTTTCCCAGCATGCCCGCACACCATCGTCCTGCCAGAGGATCCTTGCATGGTCATAAAACTCCTGGAAAGAAAAAGATGGGTCTATCAACAACATACCACACTGAGAAATAACTGCAAGTCAAGATTCCTGGTGAAATCCCGAAAAGCGTCCGGTAACAAAAACCTTCAGAAGCTTTGATTAAAAAAATATGACATCCTAGCAAAATGCAATTTTTATTACTTCAGTTTTTTTCTAATAAGAGAAAAGAGTTTGAGCAGCAATAATTGCTTTATTTACAGATTGATTTCTTATAACAGAATAATCATTATTGAAGAAAAATGTGAGAATTTGTTGCTTTTATTTGATCATAACATGATGGTAATAATAATAATAATAATAATAATAATAATAATAATAATAATAATAATAATAATAATAATAATAAAATAGTAATCATTGGGTTTTAGGCTGTTTGCTGGACAAAACAAGACAAGTAAAGATATTTCCCGTTTTTCATAATAATAGAAAACAATCAGCAGATTATGAAAAAAAAACAAAAAACGATACAGAGCCTAATGTGTTATACCCCAAACGAGATGAGAATAAAGAAACTGTGCTAAATGCAGCAAGCAACTCATGATCTGTACATCAGCGGACGGTTTTATATAAAAAAAAGTTGGGGCTACTTGGTATTTTTGGACAAGCCTGAGTCCTCGCCTTACAACTGTATTTCTTTCTTGGGTCACGATGGGTGAAAGCGTTTGAGGACAGATGGAGGGAGGCAATGACGTTCCCTAACTTAGTTTGGAGTTGAAGGCCGGCTTGGAGAGGAGCAGCACATGAGCCGACTCTGACAGAGGCAGGAAACAGAAGAGTTCACAGAGTTCATGAAGAAACGGAGATCTTTGTACTCACACAAGGCTTAGCTGTGACTATCTCTTCACGACAATCTTCATTTGGTCGCATACGATGCAGCTAAGCACAAATAAGCCATTATGAGCCATTGGATTAAACCGCTAACTCCTAAAAATAATTTTAGCTGAGAGTAAGCAAGATTTTAACTCTTGTTTAACTCTCAAACAGGTCTGACAAACTGGATATGATGGCTGAGGTGACACTCGATGTTAATTTATACCTTGCAGTGTTGTTTGTCATGTTTTTGTTTTAACCACAACATAAAGTTGTCAAACTGGAGTAACGCTGATAATTACTGACGCCGCTGATACCCATCAATTTACTTCCTCACAGTAACCGCCTGTGATGAGTGAAAGAAATGAATCAGAAGCAAAGGAGGGGTCCAAAGTACAATTTGAAGGCAGTTGACTCCGTTTCTGCTCTTAAACTTTCCAGGAAGAAACACCATTAGTGTGTCGGACTACTTTGCTTTATCGATGTAAGCTCTGCCTAAAATATCTGTGTGTCTTATTTAATCTGGCGGACCACAGGGATGCTGCCGGAGCCCTCTGCACTTTGTTGATTTAGCACTGTGTCTGACTGTAATGACAAAACTGTGACTGCTTTTATTCATGACAAAAATGGGATGGAGTAGAGAGAGCTGCCATTCCCACTCAGTGCAGACAAAATAAAAGAAATAAGCGGGAGGCACAACATTTACCAAGCCTCTTTACCTACTGGGTAAGGTTGTCCCCTACTGCCTTAACTAGACCGATAACTCTTAGTTTTGACAGTGACAAAGGTTTGGCAATGCAAGTTCAGCTTGTGTTGTATTCCTTCATATTGAAATGTTGGACACTGGTCAAACCTGCATTCTCACAAGTCTGCTCCAGTGTTTCCACACACGTCCCTGTTGCATCTGACGTCATAAAAAATGGATGTTATCTCTACTCTGAGGTATCAACCCTTCTTGCCATTTTTCTATTGTGATCATTGTGGTACTCAAACATCTCCACCAGATTACTGGCGATGACAGTCCACACATGCAGTCCATTCATGCAAAAATCAAGCCACATCAGACTCTGATTGAGAAGGCGGCTCTGCAGATAGATAGATCCCTGGCGCAGGTTAAACACACGTCACTGCAAGGGTGTTAACGTCCTCAGACACCACGGTGAATTTTCACTGTTGTACCATAGACCTCTTTCTTTTTTTTTCATGAGCAATTCTTACAGCTGCTACACTCACATGGTTTGGTCAGATGGCTCAAAAAGATCGGAGGTGATTTAACAGGGTTGTTAACAGGCACCCAGGATTACAGACAGTTGTCACACCTGGAAGAGATCAATGGCAGTGGCTGTAGGAGGAGGGCATGGGGTAAAATCAAGGACGCAAACCAGCTGGGTTGTCACTTTTTCACCCTGGTAGCAGCGGGGCGACATTATGGTGTCACTCTGGCAGGAAGACAGTTAAGAACTAACTGGTCTTACACTTTATAGATTGATCATTTTATGTTTTTGGTAGGAAAAAAACTGACTTTGATAACTTAGGATGTTCTGTTGTTTGCTTTGCTGCATCTCTTCTCTACTTAAGAGCTAATTACTAGCTACAAGTAAGCAGCCTCCTAAAAATGCTGATTAAAAGTTTGTGCTTTAATATATAGACTCAAGAGACGAAAGTAAATGTACGTCAGAAACAAATTTTAGAAAATATTTAAAACTATCAATTAACGTAAAATAATAATTAACAACAATTTTGGTATGGTGAGTTTTGACATGACTGTAATTGTAATGTATTTTTGGTTTTTGGTTCTCTTGACCAGGTAAAAAAAAGTAATTTGGCAACGTCACATTGGGGTCTAGGAGTTTGCATTGAGGGTTTCAGATCTTTTCTAAACTTGGTAATTACTGAAAACAACTCTCATATGAATAGAGATGAAAATAGTAGTCAGTTGCAGCTCTGGTTATCATTAACCATAGCTTTTAAAAATAAATACAACAGCAGAAAAAAAAGTTGCAGCAGACACCTCTCAAAGTAACAAAAGAAAATTAATTCTCTGCGACAAAAAAAAAAGAGTCCAACAACTTTATGTATAACTTTAAAAAGCCACAAACGTTTTCTCATGAGCTATTCAACTGAAAAATGCACAAAAAAAATCCAAAACCAAGAGACACAAAACTCATAAACAAGTTCCCAGGGTTTCTACTAAATAAATAATTTCATTATTGTCTGTAAAATGTCATATAATCCAAAAGTGACATCTTGATATTGTTTGTTTTGTCCAGCCAACAGCTGAAAGATATTTTGATTACAATCATGAAATCTGGAACAAATAAAAAGCAGTGAATGCTGTGAACTCTTTGTATAAAAAATGAAGCAATTAATTAACCTTTTGATGATTGTTTATTTTGTCTACCTGTTGATCAAGTTATCAGCTATCAAGTTATCAGTTTTATTGAAAAGCAAGTGAGTGAGTGAGTGAGTGAGTGAGTGAGTGAGTGAGTGAGTGAGTGAGTGAGTGAGTGAGTGAGTGAGTGAGTGAGTGAGTGAGTGAGTGAGTNTGAGTGAGTGAGTGAGTGAGTGAGTGAGTGAGTGAGTGAGTGAGTGAGTGAGTGAGTGAGTGAGTGAGTGAGTGAGTGAGTGAGTGAGTGAGTGACCACAGATTCACACGTGTATTCTCTCCTTTTAACTTTCTGGCAAAATGGATAATAAAGATATGGAGCATGTGGTGGATTTTCAGGAACTTCAGATTGTTCTAGATTTTTCCTCTTTATAATCTCTTCAATTGATGAAGAAAGGTTTTCCCATCTTAAAGTTTATTCATGTCTACATGTAAAATTCAGACGGGTGTGACACAAAAGAAAAGCCATTTCATGATGCCTTTTATAGTACCCAGCTGTGTGCAGAGTTTTCATTTTAAGAACACGAATGGCTGTGACCTGAGGACAGACCTACTTTGAGATCCTGTGTAAAGTGCTGTAGAGTTATATGATTTACTTAGAATTAAACTGTACTTATAGAATTAAACTAAGGAAAAGGATTCTGACTTATCTACCAGCTAACACAGCACAGCTATGATATCACTTATCCTGTGTGTTAATTTTTGCTTTTTTTTGACACATCTCAGTCTTTTTAACCTTTTTAGACTTTTAAGAAATACCTACATCTTCTCTACAATTAACTGGACTTTCAAGACTATCCTGGAAGAGAGATCTGTCCTCTGTTGTTTTTGCTAGACTTTCTGCCTCTTTTACCATCAAAGAATTTTTAGAAAATAGAGGACTTTAAGGATAGAGTGTTCTGTGTGTTGCAGGTAAAGTCCTGTGAGGCAAAAAGACTGAGCACAGGTGGGAAACAATCAGAATACAAAGTATAAAAGGGCCAGAGTAAATACGGTCAGGGATGCATAACGGCGTGGTTCATTGTATTACTAAGATTTCAGAGACGAAAATGACTTTTGTTGAATAACAACCCTGAGTTATTGATTGGACATAAAGCTCCAAAGGAAATCAAGAAAAGACTACGGCTATTCAACACAGGCCCAGCACTTATTGTCTCTCTCTCTCTCTCTCTTCCTCCCCTGCTGAAGGCAGAGTCAACCAGTCCAACTGGTTTCCAGTAGGCCCTAAGGCCAGGCGAGGGGGAGCGGGAAGAGGAGGAGTAGGCAGCTGAGGAGGAGGAGGAGGAAAAACTGGGCCTATCAGATAGCTTTCTAATCTATTCGCTTCGCTCAACCACACATTCAGAAGGTAGATTGGCCGTAACTACGCTCAATTTTTTGCTGGTTCTTTCAACACTGCTTTAAGTCACCAGCAATCACTGTGCTGCAGTCATTCTTTAAAATAACATTTCGACAGCAACATTATCACCATGTTTGTACCTGCTCTAATCCTCCACGCCCAAAGAGCCTACGAGTGCCGGTCTTTGCCTCCATCGAGACCTGGCAGTTCTGCAGTGGAAGTCTAGTGTTGGACTGACAGACCGAGGGAAGGGTCAGCTCGAGATAGGCCCACATAATAAATTTGCCATGACGCAACAAAGACAATATCAGGAGACTTCCTTTTGCTTACACACAAATATGCTCACTCTTCAGTGGAAACGCAACTGTAAATGATAAATGTACACGACAGAAATGACCGGTTTAAACGCAGCGGCTGTTGTGCTGAAAAAACACAGGGAAGACAGTGTTCTTCCTCTACGTAGCTGTTCCCCTGACAGAAAACAACTGAAATTCAACCTAACAACTGAAGTAACGTGACACTGTAATAAATAAAAAGAAATGCTTAATTAAAACTGAACATTATTCTCTAAATGTATAAAGTAAACAAGTATATAAAGTATTCTTGACTGTTTCATCAAGTAAAAAATTCTAAATATGCTGCATTTCTTTAATTTTTTTCTGGAACTCAGACAACATATTGAAAACCTTTTTGATCTTAACTAGAATACATAAGTGACAGGCTTGATTAAAAGAAGTTAAAAAAATTCTCTGCAATACATTTGTTTAAGCGCTAAGCACACTGTATTTTGTTGAAATGCTGAAAATGCCTGTTTTACTTTTGAAAAGTGAAACTGCAACTAAAGATAATTTTTATTATCAATTAAATTTTTGATTGTCTTTTCTTGATTTGTTGTCGACAAAATGTTTTAAAAAAAAAAAAAAAAAAAACAGAAAAAAACTGTTAAAATGGCAGTTTCCTAAAGCAAACATGATCCTGTGTATATCAATGTCTTGTTTTGATCAAAAAGTGACTTTAACACCAGAGCTATTCAATTTACAATTATGTAAAACAAAGAAAAGCAGCAAACTCTCATATTGAAGAACCTGGAACCAGATTTGTTGCATTTTTACTTCAAAGTAAAAAGTTAAATGATTGAGTATTTTTTTAAGTAATTGACTGTTCGACTGATCATTTCTGTTTAATCTAAAAGTTTAATCATAAATGGAATGAAATCAAATAAATCAAATCAAATAAACAAATTAATTAATAAATAAATATCTGGTCCAGCCGTGGGACCTACAGCCGCTCCCTAACAGGCCGCCGGGAGCAGACTGCAGCTCAGGGGGAATCCCTCCAAGCCTCCGTGTTTCTGGAGGACACGTCTCTCTAGACACATTTAGGTTTATTACAGACAATCAGTGTTAATAGGCAGTGTGGATCTCTCAGGTGAGAGGCTCATTCAATTGACTGCCTCCCAAGCAGAAGCACACCTGCTAATTACTGAATCACGGCGCAAACACAGCAGGCAGGCCCATAAAGGCTGCCGTGGGAAGCGCCTTACTCACCTACAACGAAACTAGTCAAGGCACCTGCAGGATTCAGCAGGCTACATTAGAAACTAAAGTGGCATTTATACGCATTACGGCAAGATTTTAGGATCAATTGTACAACCAAACACTGAACAAAATACCTATTGGATAGCTAACAGTATGAAAAAATAGATTTACCTTATCAGGTTGATATAATAAAAAGTTAAATTAAATGCATATCTGTATGTATCTTATTTACAATTATTCTGCTGATTATTTACACTTATAATTGTTTATTGTATAAAATAAAAAAGAAATGAAAAAAATTAATTTAAAAGACTTAAATGTATCTAAATGATTAATTGATTATCGAAATTGTTTCAAATTATTTTCTGTTTACTGGCTTGTCAATTACTTGACTGCTTCACCTTAATTAAATCAAAAATAAATACAACACATAGGTAACTGCTGGTATCAGTATCCCAATATCATCTTTTAAAAATTCATTGAATTATTGTCCACAAACTGTTGGAGCAATTAGCAGAATTACATTTAAAGATGTGCCACAAGTTTAGCTTCGGCTGTAGGATGATTCATTATGAAATGTCTCTGGTGAGAGTACGTAGTACTTCTTTTAAAAAGGACCTTTGTGGTGTTTGGTATAGAATACATGTTGCAACTCAAAGCAAACTGCTACTGAAGAGTCAGCATATCTTAAGGAAGCGAGGTGTGACTTACCGAAGGAAACTCAAAATCCTTCTGGTTTGCTTGGTTCAGGACATAATCGATCCGGGATTGGTTTGCAGGACAAGCTAACTGGCAAGGAGGTGTGAGTGTAGTCATGGCAGCCACAATCGTCTGGATGGAGAGACCACAGGAAGAAAAAAGTATGTATGTTTACACTGACCCAAAGCTGCTTTACCTAAAGAGCATTGTGTCGTGTGTTCATGTTGAAGTAAGAAAACAGTCACCAGGTAATTACTTATCATTACTTTGACTTTAATGCTATCACTTCTATAAAGGTTAAATGAATTCTGACAGGACATTACGACACACACACAATTTGTGTGGGTTTTTTTTCTCTCCTTTTTTTAGCCTGAAAATGACCAATTCTATTTAAAGCGGCTGCTACCATGTCAGAAAAACATTACAAACAAGACTATCTTTAAAATAGGTCAAAAGATCACCTTCTTACCTCTATAGCTTCTTTAATGTTGTTTTTAATATCATGAATTTTCTGTTTTTTCTCCCTGTGAAGAACACAGATAACAACAGTTAGTGTGACTTTTTTTCCTTACATGAAATGAGCTTTATCAGCTTGAGCCATGAAGGGATACAGTGAGTTAGAAGAATTATTCACTTCGCCTATTAAAAAAGTAGATTATTTCCAAAAGACAGAAGACAAAACGTTTTTTTCTAGGTGAAGTGGAAAGATTCCAACTTTAAATCCAAATACAGACAATTGCACAACAGGGCAGTTTTTCTTTTTTTACTACCAAAGAAACAGTGTCAAAAACAGTAAATATTCCAAAATAACTGTAAAGAGACGTTTTGTGTCTTTTGTGTAAATGCAAGGAGGTTTCAGTGGGAATGTGCTGCGTAACAAACTTCTCCAGGATCTCTCTGTATATCTTTATATCTGACATCAGTATTATGTCTCCTCCAGATGCACAGATACTTTTACATTGCTGACCAAGTGCAGCTCCTGAATTTTGTGTACTTGCTGATACCAAATGAGAACAGCAGAACTTGTCTCAATTTTGACAATGGCATTAATTAAAGAGCAGAGCGGTGCTGTGCTGTGGAGGAGTATTATTGTACATTTTAAGGAGTTTATAAACCCAGTTTTTACCTATCGTGAGCACCGAGTGGAATCCAAAGTATTAGCAAATGCAGTGATATGCTCCATTTTTTGTCTTTTTGTTGCTGCAAAGACAAACAGAATTTCAGCATCACCACACAGCGTGGCAGTTTGTGCAATCTGTGGGCTCCATTGATACCAGCAGGTAAGCTTTAACGTCACATGGGTCTTTCAGAAACCAGGTCTGCCAGTGCAAGTGTTAAACTCTTTCAAATGTCCTGACAAAAGACAAAAGTTCGACTGTCGAAATTCAGATTTGATACTGAAATTCCACAAATGTCAGAACCACAGGCTACTGAGCACTTCAGCCCTAAAATTAAGCCTGCACTGCTCATGTTGAGAAGGTTTCGAATTAAAAGCAGAGACATATATCAAATGAAAATAAATGTGTCCGTTCTAAAGTGACTTTGGTGAAAAAACACTATCAGCATCACAGCATGCTGCTGTAATCGAAACTTCACCCTAACTAAGAATGCTGTGGAGGACGACACAGAGTTTCAGCTTTGAAATGCCTTTTATAATTCCTATATGGACACTCTCAGTGTTAGTGAGCATTTTAGTCATCTATTGTTACTGGGTGATGCTGACAAAGGGAAATAACTTAAATTTTTAAACTAATATCTCAATATTTATCATGTAAAATATTTCTGGGATGACTTCTGCTGTTTTTGACGGATATTTTAAACTTTTGAGAAATTAAAAACAAAAAAGTCTTGCATGTTTAAATAAACATCAATCTTGTTCCAGACCAGGCCTGCCAGCTGTTTCTCCAGAGCTTCAAAACTAAAAGAGCTGCACAAATTGTCGCAAGTCTACTGACAGAATTTATCACACTAACTGTATACCTGCATATTTTTTAAATGAGATGAAAAAATTCCCGTAACTGTTCCTACTAATAGTTACTGAACCTTTCATGTTAACGGATATGTGACCAGCTACCGGGGAAAAAAACAAACACTTGAAACACTAGATTACCAACATGAATAAAACGTGAAACTGAAAACTAAGGTGAAAGAAAATGATTATAAGGCTAGAAAATTATATCCCTTAGTCTTTACAGCTAGGCCAGATCTTTTTTTTTTTTCTTTCTTAAGTGGAAATCTTGGCAGATATTTGGTGTTGCATCCTGACATCGTACAGTATTTTTGTATTGTTCATCTGTTATGTCCAGTCAAAAATGAGAGTTCAGTAAAACTACAGATGTTGTTAGCCGAGCAGATCGGATAGGCTAAAATATTATGATGCATTCATTATTGTATTCTTCTCTATGTTGGCCACATCGACCTAGAAAATGTTGCTGCTGTGGTTAGCTACAACCTGCAAGCATTTGAATGCATTCAAGTGCAAAAATACAGTTTGTGAATCTGAAAAATGAGTTGGTCACGTCGTTGACTGATGTGTTCTGAAACCAGGATGACAAAGTTCACAAACAAACCCGTTATATCTCCTCTCTCTATACACATTAGCAAAGACATAAAGGGGTACAGCACATCCAGAAAGCAGCTTCCTGCATTTTCACACTTTAAAATGACATGAAGCTTTGCTGGCAGTTGGTCGTATCACTTGTTGCCAATTAACAGCTACCAATTTACTTTGGTTAACATCATATCCATAATTTAAGTTTATAAACCGAATCATTTGAACAAGATAAAGTAGCTAATGAAAAAAAGGTTGTGTTAAATTCATGCGGTTCTTATTTTAGTGTGTGAGATACTTTTTTAATCAACAGTGTCTGATGTGATGCTCACTATTTTAAGGACAAAAAAAAATGTAAATATGTAAAATTATGAGACTGGACCTGAAACTCTTTTGGAAGGACAATTTCAGACAACTGATAAAATGATTAGCCAATAAATCCTTAAACAGTAAGGCAGAATATAAATACATTAAATGGCAATAAATTGAGTAAACAAGTATTCATCTCAGTCATTTCAGAGAAAATGCTAAATACATGTAATGTATTTGCTGCTTTCAAGGTGCTTTTAGTTTAAAAAAAGAATACAAATCGGAACACTATTTACTTTGTTTCTGAAATCTGTATTTTCCTAGAATTATTAAAAATTGTTATTAACTGTCCTCATCTTGGAAGAAAAAAACTGTTAGAGCTGTCACACTGAATCATAAAATGTTCAATTTTGGATTTGGGGCTTTTAGTCAGACAAAGCAGGCAATGTAAAGATATAATCTTGGACAATTTTCATTACATGACATTTTCAACCAAAGGAGAATGCAGAAATAAATTTCTATTCTCTACAGAGATGCTCCAAGTTGTGCACTGGAAATGAAGTCACTGGGATAAAGTCTTTATGTGTATTAGTACTGACTAAACTGTGCTAACTTGTCTGACTTAGGAGAACTGGTGATCCCACTTAAAAAGATGTGATTATCAAAACAAAAAAGCTCAGGAACATCATGAATGTGACTGTTGCTTCAAAAGGTGGAGAGGTTTAAATTTAGCCTGCCTCCCTCTCGGCCTCTCAGTCCCTTTATCTCAGTCAGATCGAGTGAAGTACAGCCAAGAAGACAAAGACTACATTCCTCACACTGGGACCTCTGCAAAAAAACAGAACACCCACTTTGAAATGAACTACCATACCAGTCTCTTCTCACCTCAGCTGTACTGCCCTGCTCACTTGTGTTTCCTCCCTTCCTCTTATTCCTCTCTTATATTACCGTGTCACTCACCATCATCATCCTCCCAGCACCTTGCACTGACTGGCACTGCCCCGAACCCAGAGGAAAAACCAAAACGAGGCCCAAAGGGTGAAACAAACACAGGAACTAAACGCAGGCTGGAGAGTCACAGCTGACTGTGGATATGTCAGTGTACCAGAGCGTCTGGGTCTGTGAAGAGCATCTGTTTAACGTGACCCAAAAATAAGCACATGATGATGCTCCTACCCACAACACCCCTTTCTAGGAAACAAATAATCAAGAATAGAAAAATGTGACTTTTGTTTCCATTGCATCAACTTTGGATTAAGTTTTAGGAAATTCACAAGAGTGAGTATGGTTGAAAACACTTGCGTGCAGTGATATTTCCATGAAAACCTGAGCGTTCTTCCTGTATCATGCAAATATCACTGCACGCAACTTTTGAGTATTTACTCCACTCCCAATGTCACAAACATCTGCCTTAAACATTCAACTTTATTTTCCTCTCAACCAAATTGGACAATTTGGTGACAGCGACATGAGCTCATCCCTCAATGCCAGCGGAAACCGAAAAAAATAAATATTTGCACATTAGCCAGGATATCAGTTTGAAGCAATACGAAAACCCTCATCAAGAAATTTATTCTGACTTGTCCATCCATCCATTATCTATACATCGCTTAATCCTCACTAGGGTCGCGGGGGGGCTGGAACCTAACCCAGCTGACTTAGGGCGAAGGCAGGGGACACCCTGGACAGGTCGCCAGTCCATCACAGGGCCACACTTAGAGACAGACAACCAAGCACACTCACATTCACACCTACGGACAATTTAGAATCACCAATTAACCTCAACATGTTTTTGGACCTTGTGGGAGGAAGCCGGAGAACCCACGCTGCACAGGGAGAACATGGAGACTCCACGCAGAAAGATTCCGGTGCCCCCACCAGGACGCGAACCGGCAACCTTCTTGCTGCGAGGCAACAGTGCTACCAACTGCGCCACCTTGCAGCCCCATTTTGACTTGTCTTATTGATAAAACTAAAAACATTCACCCTGTATTTTAAAAATTAATAAATAGGCCACAAAATTTCTTCATTGCCCTCTTATGATACAAAAACTGTCCAGCAAATAGTGATTCAACAATGTGCCCCTACAGACAGAAGGTAAAAAAGATATGAATCTACCTTTGCTGCTTTTTTGTGTTTGCGCAGTCTTGTTACAATGGAGGAAGGAACTTTTGCTGCTGCTGTGGTTTTGGTATCTTAAAAAAGATTATACTATTTGAATTATGAGGTTTTTGTGTTTCCAAAAGTTGTGCCATCGGGGTCGATGCCTTTTATAATACAGGGGCAGAATTTTCACTTGAAAGATATTCAGGCCAGTGAGTGTTAGGAATTAAAATCAAATATTTTCTTAGTGAAGACAAACATATTACAGTTACACAACCAATAACACACAATTTAGCTGTATGTAGGGAATCATTTTAGGGGATTTACTTTTATTGTGACATTATAGCTGGTGGAATTTTTTTTTTAAAGAATGCAATGAAGCTGAGGCTAAAGTACTGACAGAGACTTCATGATTATAACAGGAATTTCATTATTGATAAATCTGCTGATCATTTTCCCCAATGATCAATTAGTCTTCAGTCTGAAAATACTGAAAAAAAAGCTCATCACGAGCCAAAGACAATGCCATCAAATGTTGTTGTTTAGTCAAACCAACAGTTTAAAACCCACAGAAAAGTAGTCTACCAAGACATAAACTGAGTAAAGATTATATAAAAATGCAGAAAACAGCCACTAATCATGTTTTAAAAATCTGAAAACAAAGAATTTGGGGCATTTTCTCTTGCAGTTTTCTGCTGACTGACTAGCAGATTAATCGACTCATTGTTTCATCAGTGGTGCAATAACGCTTTCATAATGCTTTATAAGTCACACAACAGTAAAATTAAACTATTTCAAACTTAAATATAACAAGCATTTCCTCACAAATACTGGTGACCTGTCCAGGGTGTCCCCTGCCTTCACCCTAAGTCGGCTGGGATAGGCTCCAGCCCCCCACGACCCTAATGAGGATTAAGCGGTGTATAGAAAATGGATGGATGGATTGATTTCCTCACAAATGCAGTTACACTTGAGTTTTGAATCCAGTTCCTCTTCATGCTGCTTTCACAAATGATATCTTTAATGTTTTTTTAAACTTTTTTTTTTTTTTCCTTTTTTTTTTTTTTTTTAAACCTCCACCTGCATGACATCAGTATGGCCAAAAGTATTTCCTAACATTTGTATCTCCTTAATGCACCATTAGTCCTCCATAAAACAGCATTAGGACCTTTGGTCAGCAAATATCTCAGTATCATTTATATTCTGCAAGTAAACCCACCAAAACCGTCTGTGCGTATTTAATTATTCAAATGTGCTGAAGGTGTGTGGAAATATAGAATAAAGCAAGAGGGAAGCCGACGACACTTACTCTGCGTTGAAGCCATTAACGTGCAATATTCGCATCTGTTTGACTATTGTACTTTTCCCAGATTCACCGGCCCCTGAAAGCAAAGAAAGCGGTTAAAAGAAGTCAGGGAAGGGTTTATTTAAGTGGTACAAACCTTCATCAAAGGCAACAACCAAAACATCCAGGATAAATCAGCGAAGGACGCAGGTTAAGCATTTTGGCGTTCTGCTGGAAAATCCAGCCAGCTGCAGTTGACAAAGAGTCACAACACTCAAGTGTGTTGTATATCTCATTGATTTCAGTACATACAGAGGTCCTGTCCTAGGCAGCACAGACACTTTCTTAACTCACAAACTTTCACTACTTGCTGTGCTTTACGTTACACAGAAACAATTTTGCTCAAGATGGTGAGACCTCAATATATCCAATCAAAGAGCCAAGTGAGGCTGAAATCTTTCAATGTTTCTATCAATGGTGGAGAGATTTTCTCAAATACTATATTTAAGTACCAAGAAACATTTATTTTAAGTGTGGATTTCCATTTTAATGTTCCATTTTACTTGTACTCTGCGAAACTACACTACATTCAAGGGTGAAAAATAAGTTTTTCACTTTACCATAAATGTTTTACAAATGTACTTATGGCTTGTGTTGCAGATTTGCATTTTTAAAAAGCTACGATACACTCATAACATATAACCCTGTTAAACATTAAGCCAGTGGTTCCCACTCGTTCTGGGTTACAACCTTTTACAAAAGCAGTTCCTCCAAAAGAGACATTTCCCTTAGAAACTTCTCATTTAAATAATAATTAATTTTTTTCTTCATTTATCCTGTGACCCACTCTAGATGCCCTGAAATCTATGTTGGGAACCACCGAACTAAACAACCTAACTTAATATAAAGGTATACAGACCCTCTCCAACCAGCTGCAGCAGTAAAATGCTACAGGTGCACTAATGCATCAATCTTAACCATCTAATAACTTATTACTTAAGCTTTTCTGCAGAACAAGTACTTTTGTTTTAATACTTTGAATACGTTTTTCTGATGATGCTTCTGTACTTTCACTTCAGGCGCAGGTTGATGCAGGAGACTTGCAATGTAATATTTTTACACTGTGCTTTCACATCTGCTTCCAGATGTGGAAAGGACTCTCAGCACCAGAGACGAGGGGAGGAAGAATCAACCTTAAACATATACAAATACTGTATTTTTAATGTGTATTTCTTTTTCTTTGAGAATGCCAAAATATTCTTTGCTATAATTCTGGCATGATTAAACAGCCCTAAATGTGTCCTAGCTGGGAGCTAGCTAGGCTACAAGCATGCTATTTACAGCCAGAGTGTGAGCGCACAAATCTCGGATCAATTAGAGTAGAATGCGCGAGAAAGGCGTTCAAGGGAAGCTAGTAATCCTAATAGTAATGCTAGTTTGCACTCCGTTCTTCAAGAGGTTTAGCAGGATACTAACGCTAGCCTGAAGGTTCACAGTGTATCAAGACATGGAAGCCCACATGATAAAGCCCAAAATAGCTTTATCAAAATTAAAATAGCAGAGTTTTCAATGGCTGATTAGAGAATATTCACTTCCACAGTGGCTGGTGTGAGGAGGATTAGGCAAGGGTGAATGTGGAGTCTGAAAAACAGGCTTTAATAAATCAAGGTGAAGGCATCCAGGTTCCACACAAACACATCCCAAGTTTTACATGTGTGGCGCTGAGACACAGCCATGCAAAAATGCCTATCTGCATGGTGCCTATGCGTGTGCTGCCTTCGCACAGATGGTGGTGTCTGCCTGTTCCCCTGTCTCTCACAAGTTCCGTAATCAGGCTCCATAATAACCCATGAATGCAGACGGGCCTGCTTTTTCAACCATCCCATGTCAAGACACTGTGAACCCGTGGCGTAGTGACATCATATCATTGCATCATTTGCTGATGCTTCACTGTTACAGGCTGAGGAAGTGGTCGTAAAACACTTTTTCACAGGTACGATCTGAAACAATGGTTACTACATTTGTACAAAAAGGGGAAAACACTGTGTTTGGGGGGCACAAAATGGACCTTCAGGCCTTCACACACATACATGAATAAGAAATTTTACACAACCTACCTAATAGTAGTAGCCGGTGAGTCGCCCGGTATATCTGTTTGTCTTTTTGGAGCTGCTTCTCTATCTTTTTGTTGGCTTCCCTCTGTGCCTTCTCCTCATTTCGTTGGTCTTCAGTCTTACTATTGCCCAAACAGCCCATCTTCCCAAAAACCCAGTGATAGGTTCAGGGGGGAGGCAGGGTGGTTGGTGGGTGGATGTAAGGAAAGGGAGGAAAGGATGGAGGAGGGTTGTTGATCAAGAAGAGGGAGGGAGGGAAATAAAAAATAATAAATAAAGAACAATCAATCCTAAATTCCTAGACTGGCCCAACAGAGGAACACCTGGCTCAAAATGGGTGACATTTATGTGGCCAGATGCAGATGAAGCAGATGTCTGGTAGTCGCTGGCCTCCACCAGGCTTTGGCACAATATAGAAGGGGATGGATGTGGGTAATTACTGGCAAATTATCAGCAAGAGTTCAGTGAGGAAAAAGGAGCAGAGCAACGATGCCGCCCTCTCAGACGCTTGATTCCTGTGTTTTTCACTGTAAATCCGCAATGAAGTCATCAACATTGATATGAGAGTGGATGTGAAATTTCCAGCTTCTCGCTGCACAGGAATGAATGTCGGTGGTCCAGTTTCCTTAAAGGTGGTTCCAATTCAAACGCTGGTGTTTCTTGAAAAACACACACACACACACACACACACACACACACACACACGCACGCACCCAAACAAACAAAAAGAAAAAAAAAATCACGCTTTGATGTTAAAATTTCTCAGCAAATGTCTCCTCCGAAGCCCATCTTCGGCAGATGTCTCCCACTGCCATTCAATTCATTTCCACTCACAAACCAAAGCCCTATTTTTTTTTCTCGACAACCCCCTCCTCTGCTTTTCTGCCCCAAACCTTTTAAATATAAATTTCGGGTTATTATTTTTAAGAGGTGTTTGGAATCCGTTCTCCACCTAGCCAAAAGCACATTAGAGGGCGGGTGGGAAGGAGAAATAAAAATAAAAAATAAATATTTCCTCTTAAAATGACGGCATGTGAATCATCAGGCTACACCGGGGCTTCTTTCTCTATCACAAATCCGTCACATTATACGCGTTTTTCTCAGCAGGCTTGTTGGCGTCGCAGATGTTAGCAACCCTATCGATAATATCCTGCTTTTAGCCGATGTCAAAACGATTCCCCGTCCCCCGTCAACAGATGCTGGTGCTTGCTTTTTTTGGAGGGTTTGACCAGACCCAAGAAAAAGGCCCCTTCTCTGTCCTTTTTCTCTCCGTAATTTGTATCTATCCTCACATCGGAAAAGCTTCTCCGGCCGAGCAAAGGCGTTTTTTCGCCAGCTGGATGTCCTTGACTATAACGCGATATCCAGGTGATATTCGTGGAAAATCCTCCGTTATTTTTCCGTTTGGCGCAGGTACAGCCCGCTGTCAAGTCTCTCAGCTTTTTGTATTCCCTTTGAATCCGTATGGTAGATTATGGTTACATGTGCATGACACATGAACATACCGCGGTGTTTTCAATCACAGGTCCGACGGCGAGACAGTTCTTTTTAGCGCCGACAGGCCGAGGTAGCTCCGAAGAACCGGTCGGGGAGGTGAGAATCGTTTCTTTGCAGTATTACTCTGAATTATTTTTGCCCCCTTTTTCTCTCTGAATTGTACATTGAGATAGATAGCGTTAAAGAGGTGGGGTGGGGCAAACGGCTCTCACGGAACCCTGGGAACGACCAACTGTGGTCAAGTTTTCCACGAACTCAACTTCTGGTTGTAACTGTCACAATAAACCACCAATGAAGGCTTCATGCCCAAAATACAAATGGCTGTGCATAGGGCAGGGTAAAACGAATATTTGTATTGTTGAATAAATTGTGCATTGTGTTTTTTTCCCAGATTAAAGTAAGTTTAAAAAATGATTTGTCAATCATTTAAAATAATCTGAGTGGACCAAAAATTCTGTACATGTTAACCAGTAGTCAAAATCTGTGCAAAAAGCAAGACAGGATAAGCTGATGACTAGTAAAGTCAATTTGACAATTAACTAAAAATAATGATATATATATAGTTTCTTTTACAGATTTCTTTTTTTTGTTTCTGTTAAACTTGTTTTACTCAGGGAGTGCCTTTGAAATTTCATTGTATTGCTGTCTCACAACTGGCTACCTGTCCAGGGTGTCCCCTGCCTTCGCCCTAAGTCAGCTGGGATAGACTCCAGCCCCCCCGCGACCTTAGTGAGGAATAAACGGTGTATAGGTAGTGGATGGATGCTGTCTCACACTGCAGAATAATGACAATACAGTGCCTAATGTAATCTAATCTACTTCTAAAATAATATCAACATACAATACAAAAATATTAAAGATAATTAAGAGCAATCAAAAACCACTGAAGACATGTATGTCATGAGTTGTTTTTGTTTTTTTAAATATCAATATATCAGTCAAAAATATCAATAACTGAAAGAGAAAATCTAATCCAAAGTTGTGATAGCTGCCACTACAAAGCCACAATCTTCCTTAGCCATTGGTCTTGATCATGGATCTGTTAAAAAAAAACTGTTGTTCTAAAGACTGAAGAGGCCTTGATGATCTTATCCAAGTGCCGACACTTGATGCTTCATTATTTGTTCAGTTTGGTCACAACCCAAAGGTGTTCTGTTTACTGTCATGGAAGAGTAAAGAGACCTAAAAATGTTCAAATTTAAGAAAACATAATCAGATAAATTTATACTTGTTATCTTTAAAAAATTACTGAAATTGATTTCTTGATTAACAAAATAGCCGGCTCGTAAAAGCTGACAGCTATATCTGATTTCTCAGTCAATTATTGTGGCAATCTATGAGCCAGGTGTTAAAAGTACTGTCATTTTCCATCCATCCATCTATGATCTATACACTGCTTAATCGTCACTAGGGGGGGCTGGAGCCTATCCCAGGTGACTTAGGGCAAAGGCAGGTGACACCCTGGACAGGTTGCCAGTCTATCACAGGGCTACACTTCGAGACAGACAACCAAGCACACTCAAAATCACACCTGCGGACAATTTAGAATCAGTTAACCTCAACATGTTTTTGGACCTTGTGAGAGGAAGCCAGAGAATCCGAAAAGAACGACCTTCTTGCTGCAAGGCAACAGTACCACCTTGCAGCCCTACTGTCATTTTATGTTTGTAAATTTTAATGAGTTTAAAAATCAAGCAAGACTCAGATAATGATCGGCTACAACATCAAAACGACCTGCCAAAACTTCCGTATGTCCCCTTGTTACTGCCAAAATAGCTCTGATCCACCAGGACATAGACACATGGGGCCTCTATGGTGTCTGTCAGCAGCTGGTTCTCTGGATCCTGTGGGTTGCTGGGTGGGCCATCTGCACATCAGGCTTGCTCCAGAACATCTCACAAGGTGCTCAGGCAGGTAGGGGTCTGGTGAGATGGACACCAATCCAACACCTTACAGTCTTTTTCATGTTCCTAAAGTCATTCCTGAGCAGTTTTTGTGGTGTTGTTGGGTGCAGTCCTGTTGGAAAGTTGTTATTTAGTTAGGTGGTATATTGTCAAAGAAACATCCATGTGAATTCAAATCAAAGATCAAAATATGATCAATGTTGTTCATTTCAGTTGTCAGTGGTTTTGATTTTGTGGCTGATCAGTGTATATCAGTAGATGAAGTGAAATTCAATAAAAAATAATCTACAGTCCACTATGCAGTCCATGTGCATGTAATAGAGTAAAAGCTAAAATCTTGGTCTCATTTCTCGTGCTTTGACCTTAAATTCAAATGCCTAAAGTGCATTTGAATGGCAACAAAATTAGTTGCAGCCCTGTGAGTGTCATGGTATGAAGCTACAGTTATGAGTTTTTAAAAAAAAGTATCATAGCCGAACTGTCTTAACTAAAATGTCCCTGACACTCAAAACATGTAAAAACACACAATATCGTCGCAAAGAAAAATATGAAGCCACCAACGACCACATTTTTGCATGCATCTTTTCTTGTTAGGTTGAGAGGCGGGTCATGCTTTTATTTTGAAGTTGAGATCAGAGCGCTTCGGGTTTCTGCTTTGCTGCAACTTGACGCTTCTGGAATGAAGCAGGTTGGGTCACATGACTGCCCGGAGCGTCATGAAGCAGGGGTACAGAAGGGGAGAGGCGCCCTCTTTGAAGCTAGCTGATTATCAACTTATTCTCCCAAAAAGCCTTGATCAAAAACTCTGAAAAACTATAAATGATGTTCTAAAATTGATTTTTACACATAAACAAAATGAGTTAATTCCATCACATACATGTATTGGCAATAACACTACAAATTATTGTAATACTCTAATATTACTGATAGTAACTAGTGGAGGATAGAAACTTTGTTCACCAAACCTCTTCAGGTGACTGAAATGGGTCAAAACCCATGTTTTGCAAGTCATCAGTAAATCTCAGGTGTTGGCTACGAAGGCTGGAATCAAGTCAGAAGTCACCATTAACAAGTCCGAGGTCAAGTGTGTCAAACGTAGTGTTTCAAGCTCTGCAAAAGTCAATAAGCACCCTGTGGCAAAACCTAGTGTCAAAGAGCATCAGAAAATGTACAGAAACAATTTATTTAAATAGTTTGTTATTTACCAAAAATGTTTACATTTTAAAGCAAAATGATCACGTGTGCAAGGTGGTGCAGTTGGTAGCACTGTTGCCTCGCAGCAAGAAGGTTGCCGGTTTGTGTCCCAGTGGGGGCACCGGAATCTTTCTGCGTGGAGTTTGCATGTTCTCCCTGTGCAGCGTGGGTTCTCTCCGGGTTCTCCGGCTTCCTCCCACACAGTCCAAAAACATGTTGAGGTTAATTGGTGATTCTAAATTGTCCGTAGGTGTGAATGTGAGTGTGCTTGGTTGTCTGTCTCTAAGTGTGGCCCTGCGATGGATGGACTGGCAACCTGTCCAGGGTGTCCCCTGCCTTCGCCCTAAGTCGGCTGGGATAGGCTCCATCGACTCTGTTTTTCATAGTATAACAACAAATGTAATGGACCAAAACTTCACATTTAGAAAATGTTGTAACAAACTAAACTATTTCCATGACAACTCATGCCTTAATTAGCTGAGAAAGGCCATTAGATGTGGTTAAATGCTTTTCATTGGAGCACTTCCAAGAACATGAGATAAACCTTGACGCGCTCGTTCTCAGTTTCACAAATCTTTGTTCTTATAGAGGACTGCAGTATGTGACTCTGAATGATAACCTCAGTACAGTCTGAGAAACAATCAGAATGAATGCCAGATCTCATCATCTTAACTCACCTGATGGGGATCTAAATGGCTCTTTTCTTTGTCCTTCAGCTCTCACATGCATTCATGTAAACACTATGTGCATCACACATCATTCATAGCACACGCACATGCACACACACACACACACACACACACACACATAGAAACACCTCCCCTCCATAAATGCGTCAAAAGGCAGGGGAAAGAAGCTCAGGGCAAAACACATAAAGGTCATCAATGACAACTACATGCAACTAAATGGTACTGTGGCTTTCTAATGAACCCCAACAGACAATTGAAGAAAGAACTAATGACCTAAATCCCAGAAACAAGCTAGCAGTAAAATCCCAATCTCTTAACACAATGCTCCTCTTATTTCGATGCAGTTTCCTCTGAACAAACTGTGCGTGCTCAGGCCAGGAAGTAGGTCTTTTTTTTTTTTTTTTTCGAAAAGCCACTTTATCTGGTAAATTCCCAAGCAGTTTCAGTGGTATACTGGTATGTATACACCAAAAATTTACACAATGATTGCTAACTGTCAACTCGGGTGGTAGTGTGAAATATTACAGTGATCACAATGACAAATAATAATCATGTGACTGCATGTGGCATTTCTGTGAGAGTGAGCAATAGATCCTTTGTCATTGTATTGTACCAGTATTGTATCACTCAGGCAGGTACAGGAATGTCAGGTTAAACTGGAGGCCTCAGTGAACTCATGAACTTCTTTTTATATTAAATAATCAACTGCATTATTTTACAGTGTTCACTGTATGCACAATGAGGAGACATAAAAAATAAATTAAAAATAAAAAAACACATAGACGCAGTTAAAGAATCAAGACTACTTTGCCAAACTCAGAAAGTTCATATTCCGGAAAGCCTTTAAATCCGGTTACAGTGCACACAAACACAAAAAACACCTTCAAATGTAACGTCTGTTCATGTGTGATCAAACTACAGACATTTTTAAATGTTACATTAGGCAAGTGCACTGAGTTCTATTTAATTGCTTCAGTTTCTGGGCTCTTCGCTGGTTCATCACATGACACAGAGATGTTGTTATCATTACTAAGACAGTTAAAATGTGTGCTTTTAAAAAGATCTGTCAACATGAATATTTAAGCTGACTGAACCCATGACATTTGATTATGGGTTGCACAATTTATTAGCTGCTACTATTTTTTAGCACTAGTACAGTTTGTATGAATAAGAATAAAAATGCAGTACAGTGGACATGTTTTAACTACTTATCCCTTGTGCTACGTTTTAATGTATAAACCTGGGGAAAACAAACCAACAAACAAAAAACTCCCTGTTTAGTCAGCAACACCTCCACAACTGTAGGTCTAAAAGGAACAGCCTTGGGCTCTACACACTTGGCAGTATTTTGAAATGCAATAAGTCACCTTACCCTTGTGGGATCTGAAAAACCTTACAACAGTCAAAAACCACTGATGTTACTAAGTTAAATAGAAATGAAGCAAAACATCTATTTTAACCATAAAAATACCAGCCAGCCTCTTGATTAAATGTGCCACATGCTGCAAACTTCTAAAAAGCATCATCAAGTTTTATTTTATTAACAGATGCAGTCTGATTGTGATTCCAGTGTGGAAAGATTTAAGAATTAGTTGTCTAGTCATCTTGTGAAAGTTCACTTATATTGCTATTTTTATTACTTGATTCAAAATAAAACAGCAGTTCATTCATGGACCTTAATGCGATGATAAGCTCCCTACGTTTTGGGCAACATGTATAAGCATAAGTGTGATTATTAGACAGTTTTGAATTCCATCCTTTTGGAGTTTACTGACAACATAGGTTGGAGTCTAAATCTCCTAATGAATCCAAACATGAAAAAATTTAAAAATGTATAAACTAAATCAACTAACAAGGCATACTAAAATCCAGCGAGATGCCATGTTATACCTGTGCTAGTCCTCTAGATGGTAGCATCTCTTATACATAATCTCCAACCATTGTTACTACACCTACACTGACTCCAGACACCATGCTACATGCTAAAACTCCATGTGTTGGTATAAACTGCTAATCATATTGATGTGGTTGAAGAAACAGCTGTTATCAGACACTGACCAGAGAAACATGCAGCTTCCATTCATCTTCGCCTCATTTCCTTCCTGTTTTTGCTTAGTTCCACAGCTCACATATGTCTTTTGTAGAACCAACAAATAATGCTGTTTTGTTGTGCACCAACTGCCTTCTTGTGTAAGGGCAGTTCATTCATTTATGACAGATTAACAGTAAAGAATCTTATTCACTTCTGGTATGAGTTTGTACAATTTGCAGGATAGGAATTGCTTTATGCTTTTTCTATTTTGAACAAATACTTTTGGATGCAATTGAATAATTTTAATGCATTATTTAAATTCAATAGACAATACAATCTGAGTAAAACATACAGTTGTGCTAGAAAAATAAAATGGTAACCTGATTAAACAAATAGAGAAGTAAGCCATCAATGTTTTTTTTTCCTGACTTCCTTTACTTGTATGTTAAATTTTCTGTTCATTGTGCAGCACAGGTCCCTCATATATTAACAACTGGGGTAACTCCCTTACATCACTGGTGACATCATTTCTGGTCTTGTATAAAAGCCCCGTTAGCGGACTGAAGACTATCACAGACCCCAGCTGTTTTGTGTACTGGAGCCTGATCATCATGCGTGAAATTGTACATCTTCAAATTGGACAATGTGGCAACCAGATCGGCTCAAAGGTAATAAAATAAAATCCTTCTCCATTGTTAAAGTTAGAATATGCAAAAATGTTCTGTCTTCATGACCCACATTAAAACTCCTTATATTGTATTGAGAAAAATACTACTATGACTATTTCTTATGATTATTTAAGTGTTTTGTCACACTGGCTGCAATAAAATTGGACAACTTTTATCTTAACTGGTGTTTCAGGCTACTTTGTTATTTATTCATTTGTTTTTTATTGTGGTGCATATCTTGGCATGTACTGGTCTGTTGAATGTTGCCACCAACAGTTGTGAGTGACACAGGGTGTTCCCTGTCAAGCACTCAGAGAAAAGATAAGAGCCAAAGCGAGACCGTCATGGGTGGAACACTTTTATCACATTGAACACAAAACAAGAGAGAAAAAACTACAAGATAAATAAGCCAAAGCTTGAGTCGCACATTGTTTTTGACACTGGAGATTATGGCGGTTACTTGAAGTGTAATTCAGATATTTTATTGTGTAAACCAACAGTTCATTCATTCATCTGATGAGCATGAGATCATGAGTAGCCACTTGGCTAACTGTGTTAAAACTCAGACATGAATAATTAATTTACCACACCATAAGAAGCTAATAAAACAATTACATTTCTGTTTAAGTACATGAAAATCTCCACAGTCATGTATACTGAAAATTAATCATATAAAGAAGTGACGATGATAAGGAGAAGTACTAATGCTCTGGGGAAATAAGTAACGAAGCCCTTAAACTAATACACATCTTTCAGCAAACAGCTTGAGTTCTGTTGATATTACAGTGATGATTTCCTTTTTTGTAGTTTTGGGAAGTGATCAGTGAAGAACATGGGATCAATGAGGTCGGCCTCTACGAAGGAGACAGTAACCTCCAACTGGAGAGGGTCAATGTCTACTTCAATGAAGCATACGGTAAAAAACAACTTATTTTTCTTGTCCACATGTCTTGAGATGTAAAATTATCTCTAATTAATTTAATTTTAAAGGTTAAGTAATTTGCCAGTTGCTCATTACTGCTCTTTCTAAATGCTGTTTTTATACTTTGGCACAAAGTGGGGCCATATTTAAGTTCAGAATGCCCATTTCCTGCTATATCAGTAATACATCTCCAACATGTTGGCAGGTGGTAAGTATGTCCCCAGGGCCCTGCTTGTGGACCTGGAGCCTGGCACCATGGACAGTGTAAGAGGAAGCCGCATCGGGGCCCTTTTCAGACCAGACAACTTCATACATGGTGAGACAGATAAGAAATGCTCATACTTTCAAACATCTCATGAGGCTATTTCACATTTAACTGGTTGTACTAAGAGGATTTACAATCTATATACTCTCTGCAGATGGCTCGAAATTGGAGTTGCTAATGTTGGTTTAAAATTTAGCATTAATAGATATTATGCAAACCTTTGAGTGAGAAAACATTCTTGTTTTCAGCTGGACAACAATATATTTTTACACTTAATGCAATGATGCTGCAAATGTTTCATAAATACAAGAATTTTAACACACAACAGAAAATGTCATACGCCAAACTGAAAACAAAAACATTACTTAAAATGTATTTGTAAAAAGGTAACCAAAGAAAAATGGACACATATTTATTGACAACACAAAATAGAAAATCTTAATGCAATGCAGAGTAAATGCTAAATGTTTTGCACTTACATCGTACTTTTGTACCTTTTTGGTACTCAAAGCATGTTATAATGTTCTCCATCCATCCATCCATTATCTTCCGCTTATCTGGGGTTGGGTCATGGGGGCAGTAGGCGGAGCAGGTCATTCCAGACTTCCCTCCCCCTGGCGATGCTTTCCAGCTCTGCCTGGGGGATCCTGAGGCGTTCCAAGGCCAGCCGAGAGATATAATCCCTCCAGCGGGTTCTTGGTCTGCCCCAGGGTCTCTTCCCAGGTGGACGTGTTTGGAAGACCTCCAGAGGAAGCCTCTCCGGAGGCATCCGAATCAGATGTCCATACCACCTCAACTGGCTCCTTTTGACGCGAAGGAGCAGCGGCTCTACTCCGAGTTCCCTCTAGATGTTGGAGCTCCTTACCCTATCTCTAAGGCTGAGCCCAGCCACCCTGTGGAGGAAGCTCATTTCGGCCACTTGTACAATGTTCTCATTCATCCGTTCATCCAATCACAAACACACATTCACACTGATGGCTGTGTCTTGCACAAGGATCCAATCCCCTGATTAATAAGCATCCTGCTCAGCAATAAAGAAATGCCACAAATTTTGTGCTTTATGTGTTTTTGTCTTTTGTTTTTTAATTATATGTTTTCCTGACCTATACATCTTTATTTTGGGTTACAGGGAACTCAGGAGCCGGAAACAACTGGGCGAAGGGCCACTACACAGAGGGAGCAGAGCTGGTGGAGCAGGTGATTGACAGAGTGAGGAATGAAAGTGAAAGTTGTGATTGCCTCCAGGGCTTCCAGCTGGTTCACTCACTGGGGGGCGGCACTGGCTCCGGCATGGGAACCCTCCTCATCAACAAGATTCGTGAGGAGTACCCCGACCGCATCATGAACAGCTTCAGCATCATGCCATCGCCGAAAGTCTCTGACACAGTGGTAGAGCCTTACAATGCCACGCTGTCAGTCCACCAGCTCCTGGAAAACACAGACGAGACCTTCTGCATTGACAACGAAGCCCTGTACGACATCTGTTTCCGCACATTAAAACTGACCACACCAACTTACGGGGATCTCAACCACTTGGTCTCCATGACCATGAGCGGAGTCACAACTTCTCTGAGATTCCCTGGACAGCTCAATGCAGACTTGAGGAAGCTTGCCGTCAACATGGTGCCTTTCCCTCGCCTCCACTTCTTCATGCCAGGCTTCGCTCCTCTGACAGCACGCGGCAGCCAGCAGTACAGCGCCCTCACTGTGCCCGAGCTCACACAGCAGATGTTTGATGCCCGCAACATGATGACGGCGTGCGACCCAAGGCGGGGGCGCTACCTCACGGTTGCTGGTGTCTTCCGTGGTAAGATGTCCACCAAAGAGGTAGACGAACAGATGCTACTAATGCAGCAGAAAAACAGCAACTACTTTGTGGACTGGATCCCCCATAATGTCAAGGTTGCCGTGTGTGACATCCCACCCCGAGGCCTCAGAATGGCCTCCACGTTCATTGGCAATAACACTGCCATTCAGGAGATATTCCGTCGAGTGGGCGAGCAGTTCTCCCTAATGTTCAGACGGAAGGCTTTCCTCCATTGGTACACAGGGGAGGGGATGGATGAAATGGAGTTCACTGAGGCAGAGAGCAACCTCAACGACCTGGTGTCAGAGTACCAGCAGTACCAAGACGCCACCGTTGATCTAGATTGGGAACCAGAGGATGAAGAAGAGGAGAGACCGTCATCATCATCAGTGGCCAGACAAGTTCAATCTCAGATGGCGGTAAAATTGGAAACAGTGACAGAAACGATCCCAGAAGCTGTAGATGAGTAGAAGACACAAGAGAGTACAGAGTGGCATGTTGGTTCGACTCTTTGTGGCATTGACGGAGAAAACATATGAGGCATTGTTGGTCAGAAAAAGAACTCTTAATTCGTAGTTAGTTATTTTGTAGCCTATATTTGTTAAAAGGTACTGCAACATATTTCAATAATGCTTATTGTCTACTTTGTATTCTTCATATGACTTGTGTGCTTCTATGTTTATTTTGGAGAAATTGAGTTTTTCTTACACAGTAAATTTTTGATAATGAACTTTATTGCATGTATATATATAAAATAGCGTTTTGCCAACTCATTATAACCCACAGCTTTGAAAATGAAGTCGTGATGTTATCATTTACACTGTTTGTATAAGTGATGACAGTAATTAAAAACAGTAAAACCAAAGAGTGATGATTTTAAACAAGTGAAAGTATGTTTATTACGACTGTTTTTAAAAATTACTTTTCCTTTTCATCAAGTTAAACTGAACCAAACTTATATCAGTAGTGATGGACATTACTCTGATGACACACTCACAGTGATACCGTTTAAGGCTGTCACATAGTTTCCTCCCACTTATACGAGTCTGGGACACAGAGATTATACATAACTTGGCCAGAGTGTCTGCACTCTGAGATAAGCCCACATGACGTGGAGATGTCCCGGCACTACTTACACAGCAACGAAGTCGGCCAAACGCATGTAGAGGGATAAAGGAGACGCATGCAAATCACATGTGAATATAGGTTATGGTGACAAAGGAAGCATTGCCCTATGTAGGAAAATTGTAGGTTACAAGGTGGCAATGAGGGTAATAAAGCTCTCAATTTTACCAAAAAGGAGGTGATGTTAATTTGATTAACAATTATGTGCAAAAAGAGTCATTACTTTTGCCTAGTCAATATCTTGAGCAGGCCGCATTGTTGTTTCATGGAATTTTATTGAATGACCACATAGCTAACTAAAAGCTGCCTTACCAAGCTTTAAAAAAAGTACTTGGTGCTTGGCATTGCTAGAGATAAGGACACCGGCATTCAGCAGAGAGCATTCAAAGCACCAGTGACTCCCAAACTTTGTAACTTGTCTTCCCTGAAAATGAAGCAATGTGTACTTGTGACCCTGACCCATGTGTTGCATACCTCTAGATTGTGACCAAGGATGATTGTCCCCATGTTTAATTTAGATATTTTTTGGTCCCAAAGCCTACAAGAAAAACAAAATAAAACAAAACAAAAACAAACAAACAAACACAAAAAAACAGGTAAGTCTAAAAAAGTAGGCATCATTTTCTGTAACAGTTACTTTTTCCTATTTGCTTTTCTATTTTGTTTATTATCTTGTGACTCCTCAGTTGTGACTTGTAACCCTTGGTGGGAACTACTAATTTGAGAATGCCTTAAACATCATCAGATTAGGTTTATGTAATTTCATAGCTGCAGAAAGGAAAAAAGGGAAAAATCCATGAAATATTGCACCAAAAACAAACAAAAACTACAGAGACATAACCAAGGGCAGTCCTGCCAGGTTGCTCTTAGTTTTACACAAAGATGTGACCAGTGACTAGATCCTGTTACGTCAGCTGAGGAGAACCTGCAACCTTCATCAAAGGTTACACGACCGATTTCTCCTGCAGACATGCAAAGCTGCATGCAAAGCGAAAGGAACAATGCCACATGCTAAGTTGAAACGATGTAATCGTGTGTGTTATGTTTAGCTATGTGTACTCGTCCATTCTCAAGTTTTAATTTATATAGCTTCTATTCAGGGTCAGAGGACCGATGCGGCATGTACCAGACTAGCGGATGTGCGTAATGCGCTCATGTGACTCCTCGGTTCGGGGGAGGAGACTCGTGGTTGTCTGAAAGGTGGTTCAGTGATTTCTGTCAGTGTGAATGTGCCAACCTATCTACCGGCTTATCCACGCGTCGGCTCCGTCTACACCAGCACCGATCAGCTACTGAAACCATGAAGATCTGGACCTCTGAGCACATATTTCAGTGAGTAAAGCCGTTCGCTACTTGTAGTGTTTTACACCGTGTTTAAAGATAGCCAGGCTGTCAGAGGTCCACTGACACTTATGTAACAACAGCTTGCATCGCATTTAATCCAAAGAACAGCACACTGCAGGGTTTACGACAGAAATCTAACAAGAACACGCTGGTAATTAAAACTTTAGCGTAACTAGCTTGTATGCTAGCAACAGAAGCTAGCAGCGTAGACGGATGCTACCCGTGTCACATCAGTCGGTGTCCTTCTTAAAACAAATACCCACCGTAAGAAGTCACCGAAACACCGATAATGTCAATAATGTGCTTTAAAGAAAAACAAGTGCGAAACGAAATAATATGAATGTAGTTCATTGTCAGTGTCTGGTTGCAGATTTTTTTTTTTAAATTGCGTAACGACCCGGTCAGGTCCAGCCCCCGGCGCGTGACCTTTCCCCTACATTCTATCGTAACTGTCTGCGTCACCGAAGACTGTCGGCGCGTTCACGCGTCTCCATGGCAACCATTCAGCACCACGTTCTGTCGCCTTTCTGCTCAAACAGCGAAATTTGTACTTTTAGCGACGTTAACCAAAAATAAAGCTATAATTCAGTTCTTGTGAACTTAGGGAAAAAAAATAGAGGATGTTGGCAGCGATTTTTAGAGCTCCTGAAAATATTTGACAGAGTAATTCACTGTGTAACAATTGTAGCACAGCAGTTTGGTGTCTAAATCTGGATAGGTCTGCCACTTTTCCAATAAATTATGAAAACAGTGGCTGGTTCTTTTTTTTTTTTTTTTTAAACAACTTATATTCTCCGGGGCTGCAAAGTGGCGCAGTTGGTAGCACTGTTACCTCACAGCAAGAAGGTTGCCGGTTCGCGTCCCGGTGGGGGCACCGGAATCTTTCTGCGCGGAGTTTTGCATGTTCTCCCCGTGCAGCGTGGGTTCTCTCCGGGTTCTCCGGCTTCCTCCCACAGTCCAAAAACATGTTGAGGTTAATTGGTGATTGTAAATTGTCCGTAGGTGTGAATGTGAGTGTGCTTGGTTGTCTGTCTCTAAGTGTGGCCCTGCGATGGACTGGCGACCTGTCCAGGGTGTCCCCTGCCTTCGCCCTAAGTCGGCTGGGATAGGCTCCAGCCCCCCCGCGACCCTAGTGAGGATTAAGCGGTGTATAGAAAATGGATGGATGATATTCTCCAGACATAAGAGAGGATGCTTGTTCGGTACAGGCCAGCAGCAAAAATCATGTCAATTCATATTTTTTCAGTGGAAAGGAAATTTAAAGAATGACCATTGCCACTAAAATTGTGACTCACTGCAATCATCAAAACTGTCAAATAATTGTCAAATGATTCATTTGTTTTATGCATATCATCGATCCCTAGTGGAAGAAGAATTAATAGTCTTCAGCCAAAGTAGCAATGCACATAAATATTATAAGCAAATGTACATGAAACATAGAAGGACTCCATACAGAATGAATTGCCTCTTTAAGTATTGTACTATTATGTAGTATATTAATGGATTAGAATGTGGGAATATTGTCTTATTGGTGCAGTTGACCTTAGTGAAGCTATAAACAGTTCAGTAGTTCAATCTGTAGCTTAGTTTTAGATTCTCATGTGTTGGAACCTGTGTAAAACTGTAATTTGTAAAGTAGCTATTAACTGTATCTGTCAAATAAATGTAACAGAGGAAAACATACATTTCCCTCAGATGTATCAGAGAGTACGTGTAAAGTAGTATAAACTAAAAATGTTAAAATGAAGTTGTTCCAAATTGCACTTTAGTACGATACTTTATTGTATGCACTTAGTTACACTCCTCCACTATACATAGGCAATTTGTTTAAATATAGCAATGAGGTTTTTGTCATTAAAAACACCAAAAATAAGTATATTTGAATATCTTTTTGCAATTTTTCATTTTTTGCTCAAAATTGTAATATTGCATTAATACCAAAGATATACTTAAAAAAAAAAAAGTAGTGTGTTTATTTAAGTTTTTACTGCTATGTTACAATATGTTTTTTGGCTTTGCTTCAATAGCCACCCTTGGGAGACGGTGACCAAGGCTGCTATGCAGAAATACCCCAACCCCATGAACCCCAGTGTGATCGGCGTGGACGTTCTGGACAGAGACATCGACAAGCAGGGACGCCTCCACAGTAAAAGACTGCTCAGCACAGAGTGGGGTCTTCCGTCTATAGTGAAATCTGTGAGTGTCAAAAGCTAGATACATAATCTTCTCATGTTGTGGTGAAACACAGACTGGAAATGACTTTAAAGTCAGACTATGAAACACGACACAAGAATCCAGTTATAGCCTGTGCAAGTTCAGTACCAGTGAGAGGTTACTGCTTTCCAGTTAGTGAACATGACCTTAACCCGCATGGCTATTTCTGTCCAGGGGTAGCAGCGGCAGCAGACGTGGTCACTGACCGGAGCAAAAGCAAGTTCATGGCTTTGTGCCCTGGCTCGTGCTGTACTGAACATGGTAGTGCCATTTCTGTCATTGCCGAGATGTAACCCATGACGGCGTGTGATGTAACTTTCCGTGTCTGTGTCGGCTCAGTTAAAACTAGGGGTCATTTGAATCCAGAGCAGTGAGGCCTCTGGATGTCATTTGAACTTTGCCCTGTATCTGTGAATTTCTGAATTTGGTAGTGATAAGGCTGCAGAAAGCTAATGTCTTAATCTGTCTTGTGTTATCTCATGCAAACATTGACCAATCAGCTGCTGTTCTTTAGTGCTGACCTTTGCTTAGATATTTGAAGAGGGGATTGTAGTCACTGACGACATCTATGAATAGCCTCTTTAATTCCAAGGGCAGCCTATGACACAGACTGTCCCAGTGATTGATAGCATATTAACGTAGCCCTTAATCAGATTGTTTCAAAGCAAATCACTTCTGAGCTTCAGCATTTGCATATAAACTGGATCTATCATGCAGATGTCTTCCTCTCACGTCATTACAGTTCTGTACTGCTAGTTTAAGACAAAGTGATGCTGTCAAGACCTCATCGAAACTGTAGTTGAGACACACCAAAAAGAAACGCTGAGAAAATCCCTGTTTCACTATAAAGCTCAAACTAGTAGAAGAGAAGCTTATTTTGATGTTTTGAACTTTAAGTCGTTAATTTTCATGACTTCAGTGTAAGTGGTTTGCTTCTTGTTACTTCAAGATCTGCTGGAAAAAGCTGCATGTGAGTTACTAAAATTTTTAGTTTAAGTCTGACCCAAATGTGATTTTTAGATCAGATTTTACTATGAGCGTGATACATTATCTCTATGTTATTTAACTGCAATACTAATGTTTCTACTGAAAACACAGATTAGGTAACATTTTTCTAACATGAAATTGTGACTTTGACTAAATTAAACTAGGTTGTCAGATGATTTATGAGTTCTTGCATGCAATATATAAAGGCCCCATTTTAAAGTTAAAAATGCTGTACAAATGACATTGTTCAAACAATATTTGTAAGAGATTTTTTTTTCCAGTTTGTAATAAAGTGTGTTTCTTAATTTTTCCTCAGATCATTGGTAACGCACGAACATACACCTATGTTCAGGAACACTCGGTTGTGGATCCCAAAGAGAAGACTTTTGAACTTCAATCCTCAAATGTGAGTACTTATAAAATATTAGTGATACTTTTGTCTTTATGTAAAGATTTAATAGTCAGTGGATGAATAGCAGCCCTAAGAAAGAGCTCTGTGTACACCAGTGATTCTCAAACTGTGGTGGGGGTGCGGTGACGAGGGGGGGGCGGGGGGCGTGACCGCTCTGTGTGTGATTTTTTTTATTTTTTTTTCTTGGGCGGCCAAAAATGTAGCAGGCGGTACTACTGTGTTTTTCAGACGATATGGCGCACCGAATTGTAAGGCGCACTGTCAATTAATGTGGCTATGTACAGACATAAGGCGCACTGTCAATTAATGTGGCTATGTACACACATAAGGCGCACTGGATTGTAAGATGCATTAAGAAAAACAACACAGTCCGGTAAATCAAACTATATTTAACTCAGTTGTAACAACAGGTACCGGTACAGAAAAATATAAGATTCATTCCTCTTCCACAAACCCATGAAATTCTTCATCTTCAGTCTCTGAATTGAACAGCTGTGCGATGTCGGCATCAAACTTGCCCGGATCCCTCTCTTCATCATCTGAGTCAGTCTCGTTGCCGGTACTTGGCTGTTCGGTGATGATTCCAGCTTTGCAAATGTATTGTAATATAATGTTGAAGCACCGTATGTATTGCGTATAAAAAGTGGCGGGGTTTAGCATACTAAATACTGTTGTCTGATTGGTTTATTGTTGCCAGCCTGTACTCCGGGCCAGGTGTTGTGCCGAAAAAAGCACCCCCTCTCAAGGAGCACAGGGACAGTCATTCGCCTGTAGATGAAAATAAAAAAAGTCTAACAGTAATATTTAATATTTGTCTGTTCATGGTCACGTGGAAACAATGAGAACAACGGGGACAGATTTAGTCTGAGCATACTGTGAAAAGTTAAAAATGCACCCCTCCAGATTTACTGGGGGGGTGTTTGTAGCCACTGGTACTGTGAAACTGAGTTGAGCCATACAAATGTAAAGACCTCATCTTTCTTGCCAAATTTCTGCACTTGTTTTTGTTTGTTTTTTTTGCACAGGTTGCGCCTCATGTTTTGAGGATTAACCCAGATTAAATGTATTCTTGTTGTTATTGTTCTAAAAAGGTGTTTGCACATTTCGTTGTTTTTATTTGAGAATGCAGTCTGATGGAGTTGAATTGAAGTTATTTTCTTATTTGCAGAGCAGACTGAGAGTGTTTTTGCAATAAAAGGTAAACTTGACCCATTTTGTAATAATTTTGTTGGGGTGGGGGGGCTGAATTTTTTTCCTCTTACAAAGGGGGGTGCGACAGAAAAAAGTTTGAGAACCACTGGTGTACACTACTGTAAATATGGCTTTGGACTTAATCGAAGATGACTTTTAAAAACTATCTGCCTCGGAATTCATCTCAACCAGGGATAGCTGAGTGTACTTACATGCATAAATACATACATGTACATGCACACATTCAAACGGAACGTGTTCACAAAACATGTTCTGTTTTGGATGTGTCGACTACAAACACTCACGACCCGTTTAGAACAACTCTGTGTTCCACATGACAGACAGCATGAACTAAGTGTACTTAATGGCAAACAATTTCAAGAATGAGGTCCTGCTTGTTACACAGGTCACTAGCTCTTGTTTACAGTGCTGCAGTGGGACTTGTCTTGACAGTTCTCACTGCTGTGAAGACAAGTCTCACTGTGGGTTACAATACAACACGTGATCTGTGCATATGTCCACATTTACTGATTCATCATTTGTACCACCTTCATTACAGATCACGTTCACAAACATGGTGTCTGTGGATGAAAGGTTAACATATAAACCACACCCTGAAGATCCAGAGAGGTAAGTTTTTTTACATTGTTGTACATGTATGCACAGTTATTTTTTGAGCACTCTCAACTATCATATTGTTTAAGGTAAATTTTTGATCATGATTCCTTTTAAACCTGTTATTTGTAGAACGATACTGACTCAGGAGGCAATCATCTCTGTGAAAGGGGTCAGTCTCAGCAGTTACCTGGAGGGAGTTATGGCCAGCACCATCTCTGCAAATGCTGGAAAGGTAAGACATCAACTAAAACTGTATTCTGAGCAAGACCCTTAACATTTGTCACACCTATTTTAGGTAGTTGCACAGTGTTGAACTAAACTTTCTAACTTTTTAATTCAATGGTTTCCAACATATTTAACTTATGACCCCTCAAAATAAACCAATGTCTCCTTGTGAACCCACATCACAAGTTATGTTTAGGGTTTAGTAATGACTTAGGACATCGTCATTTCTGCTTTTAAGGATTTTTGAAAGGCCTGAAATTGTAAAAAGTCTGTATTTTACAATAAAATGTAACAGAAGAAACCGTTTTTCGTTAACAGAAGTCATCGTCGTCCGTCCGTCCGCCCCCCGCTTGTTTGAATAATAGTCATGCAACCAAATATGAGGACAAAAGTGCTGGTAGCTGCTACTCGTAAAGATGGTGTGAAAACCCTGCCATCAAAGAAAGAAAGGAGAAGCAATTGTTATTCTGATATTGGAGTAATGGCACATGAAGGAATTTGTGGAGTCCAGTTGTTTGTACAGTGAAAGTGTGCCAGAAATTGGTGCCTAGAAAATCTTTGACAAGTGCAAAAGGGAAGTTAAAATCTCTGTTTTCTCTTTCCTGCACATCTGGCCAGTGTTGCATGAAGTTTGTGCTTGTTGGATTGCTATCACACTCTGTCCTGTTTATCCTTTCCTGTGACTTTCCTCTGGAATAATGTTTCATTTTGTTCCCAAACAGGGCCGTGAAGCCATGGAGTGGGTAATCAGGCGACTGAACGCAGAGATTGAGGAGCTGGCAGCGACGGCACGCGGGACCATGCGCACCCCAATGGCTGCTGCAGTCACTGAGAAATGACACCTGCCTCTGCTGCTCAGGACAGTCTAAGAGAAACAGTACATCAGTACAAGCAGCCTCCCTGTATGATGCTCTGCTGCTGCTTTGGTGCTCTGGATTTTTTTGTATTATTTAAGGATAAAATTTCAACCACCTCTTATGATTTACTATCTACATTAGATATATTTTAAGCAGCAGACTGCAGCATAAAGGGGTTCTGTTGAATGTTTTCAGAGGATGCTGCCTGGCAGGACCACAGCGATAAGAGATCTGAGGCTGAAAAGCAGGTGGCACGCTCAGGGACAAGTCTAAACACCGCTGTCATTTTTGTGTTGGGAAGCATGTAGCATCGGCGGAAAAGTCTCAGAGACAACAGATGAAGTGGAAACACAAGACAAGTGCCAAAGCAGACACTGCTTTTTGTCCAGCCTCTTAAAAACACCTTTGCCAGTTTTCAGCTAGCAGAAGACCACAGAATGCCAGCAAGTTTCCTCTGGTGTGAACTCTGTTTACAGCGGCAGAGTATAAAGAAAAACAATTTATGGGAAGATATGTGAGAAGCAAGGAATGCCCATGCTGAGATGTAAGAGCAGAAAACAAAGCGCCTGTTAAGGCCGGGGTCAAGTGAAACACGTGTCAAGGGTACAAATCAGCAGGTCGGAGCGAGTGGTTGGTTTAACGACAGCAAAATGTCAATGAAATGTTTCATGGTCGGGTTTATTTGTGTACGAGAGTCATCTCAACAATGTTTTTCTGTGGGACCTCAGTGGTAACAAGACACTCTGTACCAGGCAACACGCCTGATTCTAAACTGTATTGTTATTATATAATGAGTAATAATGTTATAAAGGTATTTAAGTTAAATGAAGGGATCAAAATATTTGCCATATTTATGTTTTGATGTAAAAGACCCTCTCAAATGTTGTGTTACTGTTACATAGCTATAAATCTGTCTGATATGAAGAAACAAACAAAACAGTGTAACCTTCAGTTAGACACTGAACCTGAACTTGTTTGTTGAACTCAAGCAGTTTTATCAAAAACACACGTAGTCCTGTCAGCATGTTCTTTCACTGGACAGTCTTTGCAGGGACTTATTTGCACACTCAAATTAACACAAAGAAAAGCTGCTACACATGCTGACAGCTGATGATGTTACGGTTTTGGTATTACTGTCAGAGTGGTTACACTGTGTATTTGAGAGGGTCTTTATACAGTGGGTGGCAGTGTGGTGAGGGTGAAAGCACTAGTTTCTTTAATATATAAGTTTTTTTTTTTAAACCTGTAACAGGGATATTTATTTAGGGAAACAGTTTGTTTTGAAAGAGTGAGTTATGAGTTTGCTTGATTGCTGAAAACAATGTGATATCACATGCTCAGCTAGAAATTTTAATTTGTGCATTTTGACTGGGTGCCTGTGGAAAAGAAATGTTCTCAGCAAATGCAGATTGTGGCAATAAATAAAATATTTTAACCTGTTAAAATGACAAGCCTTGGTCGTTATTATTCTTTTATGTGTATTTAAAAATAAAACAGGCTTGCATGACGTTAAAATGGAAATTAGTTTAATTTGATAAGTTAAACTTTTTAGACTAAACATTCCACGCATGTTGCAAAATATTTAATGTTGAGTGGCTATTTGTTTTTTAGCATTGATTTATTTAAATCATAAAATGACCACAGTGAAAACTTCATCTGTCGAGAGCTTGATTCTGTCAATAGTTGGATTGTCTTTCGGAGGCTCAGTTGACACAAGCTCATGAACGTATGCGTTCTGATAATCACATAGCAAACAGCTATATGACTCTTGAAGCTTCTGACATTGTGAATGAGAAATAACTCTGAATGTTATATAAGTATGTGAAATATAAGCTACTGTGCAATATAAATGTAAAAGTGATTGTGGCCTTTTTCAGCAAAGAAGTGTTTGTGGTGAAATATAAATGCTAACAATCAACTCAGAATCATGAAAAAACCCTGATTTGACCCCTCATAAGTTACCGAAGACCAGATATTAAAAATCGATTTTTCGTCAATCGGTTATCGGTACCCTAAGTTGAGCAGGTTTTTTTTTTAAGGTTTCCCACGGGAGTTGAACTTCAACATTTTAAGGCATGTTATGACACACTTTTACGAACATATTGGTGAAGAAATTGTTTGGTAACGATTTAGTTGCCAGATTTGCAAAAAATCTCATAAAATGCCCCTACTATTATTTTTGCATATTATCAGAGTTCAGACACTGAGGCAGTTGCTCTCCAGACATAAGCAACTTTGTTCAGCTGATATAATGCAAAGATGTTGCATCTTTGAAATGCAGGAGTCACATGCTGCCACCTGGTGGCCAAATGTTAGACCTGCAACTTAATCTTCAGAAAAAGTAAAATAGATGTTGCTGTTTTAAAATTGCTGTTCAGACATGTGAAATGAATGGTAAAAATAATCAAATGATCTATGGTGTTGTTGTTCTTTTCATTTCTTTTATAGTAATTGTAGGTGACAAAGTGGTTGTTTCGTGCATTTTGTTCAATGTAATAATAATAATAATAATAATAAATTTTATTTAAAAGGCACCTTTCTGGTCATTCAAGGACACCTTACAAAAGATAAAAGAAACAACAATAAAATGCACAATAATACAGTATACAACAATAAAAATACATCAGGCAGTGCAATTGTCCCAGCAGGGAATAAGCAGTTTTGAACAGGCGTGTTTTGAGTTGAGATTTGAAATGAGAGAGTGAGTCAATGTTTCTGAGAGAGGGTGGTAGTGAGTTCCAGAGGCGGGGAGCAGAGCGGCTAAATGCTCTGTTCCCCATGGTGGTGAGACAGGCGGAGGGGACAGACAGGTGTAGGGAGGAAGAGGATCTGAGGGAGCGGGAGGGAATGGGAACATGGAGGAGGTTAGACAGATATGGGGGGGGCGAGGTTGTGAATTGCCTTGAAGGTTAACAGGAGGATTTTGTATTGAATGCGGAACTGAACCGGGAGCCAGTGGAGCCATTGGAGGACAGGGGTGATGTGGTGGATAGAGGCAGTTCTTGTGATGATGCGGGCAGCTGAGTTCTGGACCAGTTGAAGTTTATGGAGTGATTTGTGAGGGAGGCCAAAGAGGAGAGAGTTGCAGTAATCCAGACAGGAGGTGACGAGACTGTGGACCAGGATGGCAGCAGTGTAAGGGGTGAGGGAGGGGCGGAAGCAATTGATGCTTCGTAGGTGAAAGTAGGCAGACCGGGTAATGTTATTGATGTGAGACTGAAAGGAAAGAGTACCATCAAGGATGACACCCAGACTCTTAACCTGGGGGGAGGGTGATACAGAGGAGTTGTCAATGTTGAGGGAAAAGCTGTCAGTTTTGGATAAAGTGGATTTTGTGCCCACGAGGAGAACCTCTGTTTTATTACTGTTTAATTTAAGGAAGTTTATGGTGAACCAGGTTTTTATTTCAGAGATGCAATTGGTGAGGGAGGTGGGTGGTAGTGAGGACGAGGGTGTAGTGGTGAGGTAGAGCTGGGTGTCGTCGGCATAGCAGTGGAAGTGAATGTTAAACTTGCGGAAGATATTGCCGAGGGGAAGGAGGTAGATGATGAAGAGGAGGGGCCCCAGGACAGAGCCCTGGGGCACACCTGAACTGACGGAGGAAGGGATGGATTTGAATGACTTGAGTTGAATGAACTGAGTACGGCCAGAGAGGTATGATGTGAACCAGTCCAAGGGGGTGTGGGTGATGCCAATGGAAGAAAGTCTGTTGAGGAGGGTGGTGTGACAGATGGTGTCGAAAGCTGCACTGAGATCGAGGAGGATGAGGATGGTGAGGAGTCCAGAATCAGATGCTATGAGGAGGTCATTGGTGATCTTGATGAGTGCTGTTTCAGTGCTATGGAGTGGGCGGAAACCAGATTGAAACTGTTCATACAGATTATTGTGGGATAGATGAGAGTGGAGCTGGGAGGCAACTATTTTCTCCAGGATTTTGGCGATGAAGGGTAGATTGGAGATAGGGCGGAGGTTGTTGAAGTCAGAAGGGTCGGCACCAGGTTTTTTCAGGATTGGGGTAATGGCAGCAGTTTTCAACGGTGAAGGGACAGTTCCAGTAGTGAGAGAGGAGTGGATGATGGCAGAAATTAGGGGGACCAGAGAAGGGATACAGGCTTTGACGAGTTGTGTGGGCAGGGGGTCCAATTGGCAGGTGGATGTCTTGGATTTCCAGATGAGATCTGATATTTCAGAGAGAGTGGGGAGCTGGAAGGAGGAGAGTGGGTGTATGGGTGGGGGAAGGTCAGCTGAGGTGCAGAGGTGAGGCAGTGATCCAAGGTTCTGGTGGATATTCTTAATTTTTTCTTTGAAAAATGACATAATGGCATTGCAGGAGGCGGTTGTGTATAAGTGAGGGGGGAGAGAGTCCTGGCGTTCGGTGATGTAATAACATAGGGAGTAGGGAGAACAGCGACTTTGAGTGTCCTTCATTTGCAATGATTAAACTGGAGTAGTACTGGGATTTAGTGCTGGCAAAGGAGTCCTTGTAGCAGAGAATGTGGTTATTGTACAGTTCTTTGTGTATAGTGAGACTAGTTTTCCTGTAGAGTGTTCCAATGTGACTGTGGCTGTCACAAGTTGCACTCAGTAAGCACAAACAAGTTCTCAGTACAGACAAAAACTAAAACTATGACTTTCAACAAAGTTAAAAATACTGATCGTCACAACCAAATCATATTTACGATGAGTGGCACAAATACTGAAAGAATCATAGAGTACTATTATATTGATGAGAAGCTGACATTTAAATGTTTGTGTACAAACTGGTGACTAAATTAAGATGAAAAAATAGTCTCTTCTCCCAGAGTAAATCATGTTTCCCACTGCACTGTCAAAACAAACTAACAAAACATTTACTGATGAAACTTTTCTATCAGTGTCAGATTATGTTGAGATTTTTCACATGCATGCATGAGGCCTTCGACACGGTTTATCTCTTGCATTATGATTTATTACAGGTGAAAATTACAACACTAAAGTTAGGTGGCCCTCACACTCCCTAAGGAGTGACAGAATCTGGTGCTCATTTCTTTATAAGACAGTTTTATCATGCATCATTAGCACATGCCAGGGGTCTCCAATCCTGGTCTTCAAGAGCCACAGTCCTGCATGTTTTAGATGTTTCCCTCTTCCAACACACTTGATTCAAATGATCAGGATTGTTATTAGGCTTCTGCAGAGCTTGATGATGAGCATTTGAATCGGGTGTTTCCTGACTAGGGTCCGCCGAAGGGCAAGAACCCCATTGTTCCTGCTTCGTTTCTTTCTTTCTTTCTTTCTTCTTATTATTATTGCCCTGACGAACGCAAAACCCTTAATTAGACCACCTAAACACGCTCAAAAACTCACCAAAATTATCACGCACCTCCGACTCACCAAAAAATTGGATAAAATAAAAAAAATTGCCCCAGCAGTCCAAAATGGTCTCTCTAACGCCCCCTAGGTACAAAAACACACACACACTAAAACGGCCCTAGCGGCCAGTAGGAATGTCGTACAAAGATCAAACCAACACGAAAACGTTGGTCTCAATGAGACCCACAAATCTCCCGCTGACACCCCTGACCTATCTCAAACAGGAAGTCAGCAATTTCCCTTTCAAAATAAAAAAATGAGTGAAACCATCTTTTTGAAAAAAATTATCTTGTCTGACATCATAAATGGTATCAGCTTGAAAATCACACAGGAAAAAGAGAAGGCCATGATGAGCAAAAGTTCTGAAGGGATTTGGCGTTTCTCAAACGGTTTCCGAATGACGAGTCGCTAAAGTTGATGAGCTGTTGCAGCCTCGGCTTATACTTTGTATGGCTGTGTCAGTTGGTCAACTACACAAAAAAACAAAGGTCCTACAGCTTTAAAAATGACATTAAGGGGGCGCCTCTAAATTGTCCGTAGGTGTGAATGTGAGTGTGCTTGGTTGCCTGTCTCTACGTGTGGCCCTGCGACAGACTGGCGACCTGTCCAGGGTATCCCCTGCCTTCGCCCTAAGTCGGCTGGGATAGGCTCCAGCCCCTCCCCCGCGACCCTAGTGAGGATTAAGCGGTGTATAGATAATGGATGGATGGATGGATTAAGGGGGCGCCGCTATAGCTCACCTGGTAGAACTGGCCCATGAACAGGGCTACAGTCCCAACGTGGAGGTCATAAGTTCGAATCCCGCTCATAGCCTTTCCCCTACTTTCCTGTCTCTCTCTCTCACTGCACTATATAAATAAAGGCACAAAGGCCAAAAAAATGACATTAAGGGTTTTCAAACAAGATTTACCACAAAAATATGCCATGTTTAGACATATTTGGTCAAAATTGTGGCTGTATGGGAGAGTGAAACTGAGTAAAAATGTAACTCGCTCAGAAGGGAAGAACATGAAGAACAATGACTCATCGTGACATCATCACCTGCCATAATCCTGATTGACAGCTGGTTATGTGACTCACTGACAGTCTGGGGCTG